AAACACCTGGCTTCTGCAGAGGCATTTGCCCACATTATGCCTCACCACCATTTTCTGAAGCTTATAAACTTCTCATCGACATGGGTTTAGTGCTTATTTGAAAGAACATGAGATTTATTTTTTAAACACAGGTTTAGTGCTCTTTTAAAAGAGCCCTAGCCCTGTGCTATACAAAAGGTGTATTTAAACTAGAAAAGAGAGCTGGATTCTACCTGCAATATGTTGCTAGGTCATCACCACTAGATGCATTGTAGGGCTTGTACTGCTTCGGCCAACAATGAGTTTGATGTGGCTGTACTTTCTATTAATTTATTTATTTCTGTTTACCTCCAAGTATTTGCACAAGAGAACACTCTGACTGGAGAATGCTCTAAGGACCAATCTCATGCAGCTGTGGTTTCTATGGCTGCTTATGGAAAGCACCATGTCACTTATGCTCCCAGGGGACCAGGGGATAGATGACACTTTGCTCACTCTATTCCAGCGTTGGTGGCACCAGGGGACATGAATTTGACTGGTGTTATTAAGCAGAGGCCAATAATAATTATGCACATCAAAAACGATGTGTTTGCTTGTTGGGTTTGTAGGCCACCTATTCCAGACAAGCCTGAGAGGCTTTCTGAAATTAAAAATGGCAACCAATACATTAGCAATAAAACCACATTCATTCATATCCAAGGATGTGTGTGCTCTTGGATTTTGAAGGAGTGCTTCTGGGTGCTGCTACTCATGAGGTCAGAACGCAACCCCTTGGACCCTTGCTGCCACCACTGCTATTCCCTGCCAGCACTGGTTGGGGATGAAGCTCACTCATTATAAGCAGCTATCTGTCTACAGAGCTTCAGACTTTCCAAAGTGTAAGGGGTGGTACTTTATAGTTTTATGGAATAAATGTGCTCCTTTTTTGCAAAATGACTAGTGATAACCTGGCCCACGTCCTCCGTTCCAAGTTACACAACTGAAAATAACAATCCAGTCAAGCTACATGATGCACCTTAATCCCTCCTTGAGACCCATTTCAGATTGTCAAAAACACCGTGTGTGAGAGAGAACTAGAGAATGTTTTTTAAGACTACTGGCAAGGCTAAGCAGACCAAAATATTTTTTAAAGGCAAAGGAGAAGAAAAACTTGCTGCCCATGGGCTTACATAATGGCACCCTTTCTATTTAGCCAATGTTTCTGTGGTTTCCCTGGAGAAGGTTATTGTGCCAATTCTGACAAAGCTGGAATCCATCCTACATATGAATGCCCAGAGGCCCCAGTCCGGAACTCCCATTATTTTCCTCAACTCTGCACTCAGCTTCAGAACTGTCCTCAGCTGAGTGGCCTTCTTTTGTCCACATGACTGTTCTGAACCTTTACTATTTTCTCATTAGCATGGCACTGTAACAAACACAGATTTGTCACCATTTGCTCTCGGGCAACCCCTATTTGCAACGGTCATCAATTGATTAAAACACTTTTGAAACAGACAAACATTTGCAACGCTTGGGATTTTCCCCCTCGTAGTTTCATAGAAGAACAAAAAAAATATGCTTCTTGAGGAAGGAAGGAAAAAATCCTTCGCAGTCTGACTCTGTACCTTTTGATTTTCATGATCCTCTTAGCCGTCCTTGCTCAGAAATAAACCTCTCTTCTCTGTGGCACAATATATTTTGGTAGGTTTTAATTATTCTTAAGATTGACAGGAGTTTCAATTTGGAATGTGGCAAATATATACATACACACCCCACACAGGAGCCATTAATCGAAAGCACCACGCAGGCCACAAAGTTTCATGCATTTCTCACTAAAGACTTTTTCACAATATATTAACAGTACTGCTGAAGCAGCTGCAAAAAATAGCCTCATGATTCAAGTTCATAAAGTTTTATCCCTGCCTGAACGTAACACTGCCCTTGCATGTCCTCATTGTTTTATGGGGTTTCCATCAATCTTGGAAAGCTAGGCTGATTAATGCTACAGGTTAATCAGCTTCTACTCCAGACAAAACATGGTATTATTCTGCAATAATTTTTCTCTGGAGCAAAAGTTAACAAGATGATGTGAAGAGTTAGGTACCAGATACTTTCTGGTTGGGGAGTGTTGGATAATGCAAAGAAGAGATGGTAGGGACATCCAAAGCAGAGCATCACAAAAGTTATGCCTCAGGGGAGTGCGGCAAAACCAGCAGCTATAGGAAGGACCTAGGCCAATTGAAATCTTCTGTGTGGAATAACTCTATATACACATCTCGCTACATACCTAGGTTTCCTTCATGTTCAGGAAACCATGTACAGAGCTATTAGAAGGTGAGTATCTGCCCTACAGTCTCATGATCCTCTCCTGTGTAAATTCTCTAATTTTTCTTCTTGAGGGGAAGAATTAATTTCATGATGTTTTTTGTTTGAATATAAATTTAGGTTTGCTGGGACAGAGGACATAATTTAGAAACATTAGAAATAAATTATGGGTATGATCCAAGGGATGTTCTACTGGCACATTTCTGGTTGTACACCCCAGATATGCAGGTTTAGAGGTGGGTACAAGAGTTACAAAATTGAAATTAGAGATTTATTGGCAATATTTAATGTAGGCAGTACCTGGCTAACCTTAGAAACCAAGCTCAGAAACTAAACAGTGTTAGGCATGGTTAATCCTTGGACTATCAAGAAATAACAGGATGGTATGCCAGCTTGTACTGAGTTGTCAAAAAAAAAAAACCTGGAAGATAGTGGCAAACTCACCTCTGTACTGATGCCAAGAAGTCTACATAGATATGTCCCTGAAGTCAACCTGAGGGAATTATTTTTTAAAAGAAAAGTGGGTGGATCCAAAGTAACAGTGAAATCTTATTAATATTTACTAATAAATCCTGTTGTGTTCAATGTTATAATATGTTTGGGATTGCAACCTAAATTTTTATTAATTTAAGAAATTTATTTAGCACTCAATAGTGTGTAAGTCAACACTGGGTCACCCTGATTTAAATCAGAATGTAATTCAATGAATTTACAGCATAACCATAAGCATTTCTATTTGGAAGTAGGTCCTAGGGGTTATATGTTTTGAGAATGCAATCTTCATCTGGTTCCAGTCAACTGCAGTTCCCTTTTCAGGAGTCAAAACAACCAATGAGTTTGGCAATAAAGAAAATCAGGGTGTTTTCCAAGTAAACATTTATCAGAGCTATGGTCCACTTGTGCAAGTAAGTTGGCCTGGAAAAGGGAAGAAAAAATCCTCAGAACCTGGGGACACACCAAGAGGCTACATTCATTACCATGTCCTTCTTCTGCACATCATCTCATTGCCCCAAATCTCTGGCATGAGGCTGCTTGGCTCACTAAGAACACCCCAGGTATATGAGGCACTCCACTGAAACTTCTGAAGTTCTCTTGGTCTTCAAACAGAGAGAATCCCAACCCTTGAGCAGCTGAAGGAGAACTTCAATCCTCTCTATTTATTATTAGATGACTAGGCCATCCCTGCCCCACAAGTGATACTAAATCATCCCACATAATCCCTGCATGCACACCATCTCTTTTCAAACTTTTCATTATGTACACCTTTTCTAACTCCTCCATCAAGGAACAGCAGGTGGACCATTTGCTCCTCATATTGCACAGAGTCATCTTAGAAATATCGTCCTAATTCTCAAACTATTTGAGAACAGGGCCTTTGGAGCTAACTAATCCTCACTCAGCATTTTGTTTGGAGGGCCCACTAAATTCAGTGTTGCTTACTTTGTCTGTAAATATCCATGGGGTTGGGGTTTGCTTTTTATGAGCCAGCATCTGTCACGATGAGATGTAAAATCAGTTTGGCAACTCCCATGCCTTTACAGAATGCATGCCCACACCAGCAGCTGCAACAAACCTATTGTTCCTTTCAGGCCAGGGACTGTTTTATCTCCCCCACCTGGTGCCGCCCACCTGCCATTAGCTGCTATACTAGCTTGGTGGGTTTCTGTTACACTTTATGGGACTTGAATAGACGTCATTTTCTAATCTGGCATTTCTTTTTTAAAACAGTGACCTGGTCTTTTTGCAAAGTAGACAATAGATCTATGTGTAGAACACTCAGGGAAAGATTTAAGGATGCAGATCTCAGGATATTCAAGTTTGTGATGCCCAAATATTCTGAAGACAGAGGGCAAAGGACCACTCTGGAAAATCACATGTGTAAAATTGCTCCTACTTTTTACACACACAGAGAGGGAGGGAGGGAGTTGATCTTTAGTCATATACTGTCCGTATGGGAGCAAACTTAACCAAGAATCTGATCATTATGTTATACCATTATTCTATTAAATTGCCATTCCCAAAGGGAAGAAACAATCAAAAGAATAAAATGATAACACATAAACAATGTTCCCCTTGTGGAGTCCTTGGGATTCTCTGAGCATGGTTCTTTTCTTGCAAACGTTTCATTACCTGGTTAGGTAACATCTGAAGATGTTCCCCTTCTCAAATGTATTGACACCTCTCAGCACACAACATGACAACTTTTTCAAAGGTTAATCGAGGCCTGGAACTTGTACTTTTAAACCCATTTAGGTTTATGTGTGGTCAGATTTGACATCTTCAGACCAATAGCACATAAAAGATACACTCTTCAGATAAGAATCTTCTGTCTGGAAGTATGACTTGCCCTTTAGAAGTTCTTAAGCCAGCCTACACGGCAGTAGAGGCTTTCGCACATCCCACCCAATTCCCCTTGTAATTTGGAACTTCTACCTGCAATACGTCTCATCTGTTCCATCACGTTTCTATCAGTGACAACACTGGATGGGTTTTTTTTTTTTTGGTAAGAAGTGGGAAAAATTCTTCTCTTACAAAACTTGCTGCAGCTGCCCTAAAAGGAAAGAGGAAACCAGTGAGCTAGTAAGCATCTGCCAGTGAGTGCTACGCTTAGCTCTGCCCTCTGACCATGATGCTTTTTCCTGTTGTTCTGACGTTGTGACTTTCCACCTGCCTTCTTCCACCACCACCACCGGCATTCATTCTGAACGCAGCACACGTGGGGTGGAGAGGCTGTCTCCCCAGCGCTCTTCAGCAAGATAGCTGGAGCCCAGCGGCTATGCTGCTTCTCTCCTCCTCTGCAGTTCACATAAGGTGAAAGAACTCGGCCCGAAGACCCTTACCGGGTAAGTTTGTAAGATAAGCTTACGGAAATGATCATGACAGTCCTGTACTTCGAGGCTCTGAATCAGAAAAAGGTCTCAGATAGCTGGCAGCCCCAACCTCTGCCCAGCTTCACTGTGTTGTCCTGCTGACAAGATGCTTGTTCATAGTGAACTCTGAGATAAGGCTCGGCAGCGTCAGAAATTGATCAATTCTTAGCGTATATGCCTTGTTTTATTTTAGTGAATTATTCATGCGTTCCCTTGCTGTTTCAAACTATAGAATATTCTTTCAACTTACCATGTGATTAACAAGTGAGTTTCAGAGCTGCTGTAACACTGTGCTGTGAAGAACTTCTTGTAGGACCATACTTTCATTCACATTTGTTTTGGCAAGTTACAATATTTTTTTTCAGAGAGTGGAAGGCAGCTTAGAAGAGAGAGACTGCTGTTTGTGGAGTGTTCAGCCTTAAAAAGGAGGCAAGTTTTTGGTTTGTTTGTTTTGGGCAGTTTGTATTTTTTCAGAAACCAGAAACAATAAGGAGAGAAAATGAATGACTGAGGCCAGCACCTCTGTCTCAAATCGCTTTGTCTGTATTGAGTTTGATTTTGCAACAAGAAAAAAAAAAGTACAGTTGTGTTCTTTGGGAGATATTGCTAATCTTATTCTCCTCATCTGCAATAGGCAAACAAGAGAAATCCAAGGGAGCAAGAACATTAAAGCTCTATCAGCTGAGTTCCTGATGAAGGTGCTAAGCAGTTGCAATGCAGTGAGTGCCTTTGCTATTCATATTCTTCTCTCTAGAAGTGTTACAAATTATTGCCAATAAAACTGGATGATTTCTGACTATATCTTTTCTTTGTTTTCCTTGACAGCCCAAAACTTTAAATGCAAAAGATATGGAGGCTTTAACTGCACACCCATCAGAGGTAAACACACATAAAGCCCTTTGCAGATTCTGTGTATTATAGATTGTGATTGTAAGCATGCTTCTTATGGGACTCTGTAAGGTTTACTTTTGAGTAAACATGCTCAAGATTGTACAGCACATCCTATGTCTTTGCAAACTCATGGTCAGGCATTCTTGCTAAGCTTTAGCTGATGGAAGAAATGAAGTTATTTTTAATAGTACTGTAATTCTCGTCAGTATTTTATAAAAGTACATTTAGTCCTTTGCTTGTGCCTCTATAGCAGTGTTTCTCAACCTCAGCAACTTTAAGATGGGTGGACTTCAACTCCCAGAATTCCCCAGCCCATGCATGGGCTGGGGAATTCTGGGAGTTGAAGTCCACCCATCTTAAAGTTGCTGAGGTTGAGAAACACTGCTCTATAGTTACTGAATTCAAATCACCTTGAAGACGGAATGAATTTTCAAAGTCTTGAATTGCCATCTACGCTCATTAGCAATTCTAGGAAATCTGTTTCAACATGAATGAGAGCGTTATGCTTCCTGCTACAGTTCAAGCCAAAGGAATGAGGTTTGTGCTAGTAACAGTGTTTTGAACTGAGATATGTAAGGCTGTAGTCTGGATTATGATAATATCCAAAGTCTAAACACCTGTTACTTCAAAAACCAATTAATTTCAGCAAGCCTGTTTCCAGTGCAGTTAGGAATCGCTTTATAGCCTTAGTTGGATGTATGGCTGACATCCAAAGAGCTGCTCACATAAAACAATTCATGTTTGCCCTGTGGAATTCCCAACTGCAACCCTCTCCATCACACATTAGCTCCTATCTGAATTGTGTCTGTTTAACTTTCTTCTCACCTACCCTCCTGGGCCTGCAGGCTCTCATTACTCAGTCAAACTTAGAATAAATCCATTGACATCAGTAAAACTTTAGTTAGTTCTGAATAATATAAGACCCATAGATGCCAACAATTTGAAACCAACCATGTTTTGCTTGCTACCTTGTTTTGGATCGGTATTATTTGCAGAGCTCACTAAGGATTCTTTTAGCCAAAGTAGCAGGATAGCTGTGGACAGCTTTCATATTTATGGCTGCTTCTGTTTAATGTTTGGTTAAGTGCCATGCAAAAGTTACAAGATCCTTGTCACTTTGCAATGGTGCAATTGAATGCATCCTTTCCTGAAAGAAGAGGGTGTGGGTTTTGTCTGTCTGTTCTGAGGAACTAAGGAAAGTGATCTATTACAGCTTTATTTGAGCTCAGGGCTGCAAGGATAGATTGATGAGTTTTACTGACTTTTTAAATTTTAGGAGGATCTCAAAAAACGTCACTTCTTCATGACTTGTGATAATGAAGATGAAGCAAGTCAGCTGATTGGTATGTGTGTAACCCTTCTTAAACCTGAACCGAGGGATTCTGCTAAGCCCAACTGTGCCTTTAACTTCTGTACAAGTGAGGAATGAGAGGCATTTATTCTGCTCCTTTGAGTGGTGCAGGAGGTGACAGGATGGGGCCCAAGTTATCTCTCTTGGTAGAGGGGATGGATAGTTGACTACTCCTTTCTGGCACTGAGGATGGCCACATATTTATGTAGTAGGGCAGCCATAGGCTGGTGGGTCCTTGGGTTTAAATCATAAACTGCCCCCTGGTGGCAGTCTGGTATATACACCTAAGATATCTACAACCGCAATAAACAATTGGGTTGATTGGTTGGCCATTCTAGGACAAACCATAGGATTGTAGGTTAAATTTCTTCCACCATATTTAGCTGCCACCACTGACTGCTGAAAGACAGGCCGATCTCCTTAAGAAGGGGATGTAGATCACTTTTAATATGCAAGTGATACAGACTGTGTGATTCCAGCAAGAGTGAAGTTGGAGGTAGAGAGATTACAGCTGGGTTGACAGTAGCCCAGAATTAGGTCCCATTTGAATCAAGCCAGGTTTGTGACCAGTTCAAAAGTGATCTACATTCACACATTGAAGATTCTCAATCACTTTTGACAGGAAACCTATTTTTGCCTCTGATACCAAAAACACCTGGGCCAGCCTTTTTGCTATTAATTAGCAAACTGTTTTGCAAACTGCATTTGTTTAGATTCAGTTGATCTGATTGTTCCTTCTAGCACTGCAGAATCCTGATAAGGAATATATCTATAGCAACCTTCCCCAATCTATAATAGACTACAAAGCTCAACATCCCCAGTCTGCATGCCTAGTCAGTGCGGTCATTGGTCAGAGTAGGAGCTACAGTCTAAAGCATCTGAAGAGCATTTCGTTGACAATGGCTGATTTATATAATTCTATAATCATATATTGTTCAGTCATGTAACTAGTGCTGATGTCACTCATTGGTCGCACACTATTCCTACTCTCTTTGCTCTTCCAGCAGATCGTCACAGGAAAAGAAAGAATGTAATATCTTTGCCATTTATGTTCAGACGATCTACCCATGAGTCAGAAACTCAGGGACATCTAGAATCTGAGTTGAAATCACCTTTGTTTGATTACCCTCTGTCACTTGTTTACGGTGTTGAAGATACACTTCCCAAATCTATACAGGTAAGTAAGCAGTAGGGTATTGTATCCATATTCATTCATTCATTCATTCATTCATTCATTCAATTTATATAGCCGCCCA